CGTCCTCGCGTTGCTCTGGATGGGTGCCGATGTTCAAGGCCGATTCCCGATTTTGACACTGTTTCGTGACCTTCCGGTCAAGTTCGCACTCGATTCGCGAGTTCCTTTGCATATAAACTCTATTAGTGCCACGTCACAGTCGGTATCGATTGTATCGAACTGGATCCAAACAATCAAACATAACCTTACTATTCAATATGAAACTAAAGAATTTCAGAGATAATTCGCCCAGTTTGAGAAAAAAGTTGTGTTAGAGACAGCTCTTTTAATCGCGGAAAGTTCCTGCATTGTTAAGTTGACGGGATAAAGCAGTTTCAGAAAGGTGAAAATACCCACGAGGGCCACCATGATTTAGGCCACTCCTATGCCACTCTAGTTTCTTGGCTTTTGACAGTGAAATTCTGGGAGGGAGGTGTCAAGATGAGGTTATGTTTGATTGTTTGGATCCAGTTCGATACAATCGATACCGACTGTGACGTGGCACTAATAGCGTCTATTGAGGGTAAGGGAGGGTGATTATTTGGGGCTTTTTCAATGCCTCGCTTCGAAAAATGCTCAGCTGGGATTCTTTTTAGATTTTTTCAAAAGACAAGAAATTGATGAAATTTTTAAAATTGATAGACAAAGCTCTCGACAATGCGATAGACAAGCACAAGGTAGGATGGATTCATTCTGTTGGTTGGAATTGGTGGTTCTTGTTGACTAAGGCATAAAAATTCCGCCTCACTGTTATTCATTGAGAGAAAAAAACACTAAGGAGTGGCCCGAACTGTATGTGACAAGGCGGAGGAATGGTGCTGGGTCGCCACACCATTTCGCGGGAAAATCAAAGGCCAAGAGTTCGAAAAGTTATATTTAGAGTCAAAAATAAATGTTTTTAAATGTTATTCATTGTTGTTAGTGTTACAATTACCCGGAACTAGTGCCGAATTTTGGAACTTTAGAGCTTTCCCTGAATTTTTCCTGGAACCTTTGAAATTCCCGAAATATTGCGGATCTTTTGTATTTTCCGGAACTTTTGACGGACATAGAATGAGAGCGTAGATTATTGTTTGGTGGTTGTTTTTTTTTGGGGGGGGGAAGGGGGCATCTGCACCTTTTGCTAATATTTTTTTTACTTTTTTACTTTTTCATTTTTGAATTTCGTCACTTAATTCTTTCCTGTACGTGTGGAATGCCCTATATAGAGTACCTTTACGTATAGGGAGCAGGGCACCTTTTGAATGTTCATACGACTTTCTTTCTTAGCGCGACAGCATCAGCCTGATTGGCTAGATAACTTTTCCGCGCGGGGACCTCGCCCCCAAAAATCATGATTCCTGACTCTAACCCCATCCAAGAGGGGGGGGGAGGTGGCTGAGGGATATGGAATATCCCTCAATACGAGGAGAAGGGATGGAGTGGGGAGCCTACGTAGGAAGCTTTTGAAAAATTAACTGCATTTTGAGGCTACCCTCTCGCGACTACCTACTGAGGTTACCGTCTGAAGCCTCAGACGGACAAAAGTTCGATGAAGTTAGCTCATGATGAGACCCCCCTACATATTTAGTCAAAACCCCTACAGTGGCCCCAAGTTCAAACTAACACCCTCTAATCATGGATCGAGGGCTCAAATCCGTCGAAGCGTACGTATTAAACGGGAACAATTACTCCGAGAGCTCACGCAAGTTGCTTCAAGAGAAATTAGCGCGATTAGAAGCCTGCGTTAAACTGCAAAAATAGAGGGCAAACTGTGCTGAATAAAGTTCGTAATATCAAAATTTTCCGGGTGAAATGTACTGTTTTACAATGTGCAATGGCAGCACTGGGTGAATGTTATGTAATTATTCGAACAATAAGGAAGGGTAACATGAAACATTTTCTCCTTATGTGTTTGTTGAGTTGTGACGTCACTGTTGCAACATTGCGTAGACAAACTGGTGGTTTGCACGCAAACGATTTCGCGTGTGGACCCAGTTTTTCTTCTTCTTTGCATAAATATATAGGGGTGATTTCACTTTTCATATCAATGAAAGGAATTGTACTCTCCGTGTAAAGCACTTAAGAAAGATTGACGACAAATGTCGTAGCTTCTTAAATTTTGTACGGAAAGTATCGGATACTACAAGACTAGGAGCATCTTTAACACGCATCTATTTATCATGTATATCTCTTTCGTTTTTTTTAATATGTACAGACGTTATGACATAAGTTCGGTTTATTTTGATAATTTTATTACACTCAATGCATTCCTGTGGGTTCAAAAATAGGTTTGGTCAAATTATGGACAAATTGGCAAATTTTTTTCCTTTTATCAAATTCACAAGAGTCGGAGTGATTTTGGCGAGGAGTTGGCATTTTAATATAATCACAAAATCTGGCATGTATTTTTCTTATATTTCCTGCACAACTAACGTGTAAAAATAACAAGAATTACAAGAGGTTTAGCACATTCTATTATTGACAAAAATTAAAACTACGTTCATGCACAAAGTGGTCCATGGTGGTTGCAATAATAATCGATGTATTTTTTTCATTTTGATCCTTCCTTCGTGTGAAAAGCATGGGTGGTTTTTTCAGACAAGATTCGAATATTGATATTTGATGATAGACAGTTTGCTTGTACGCGCTGGAAATGCGTGCCCGATCTCTGGGCGATTTTCAAAATTCCCGCCGAAAAAGTTGAATTTGGAAGCCATATAGGCGAAAGCGCGACGTATATGATATGCTCTTCTTCCACCCAAAATTGACAAAACTCTCAGTTGCGTTTGCACTATTTCAGTCTTTGTAGAAGGTTCGAAATAAAAAGCTGATTCCATCGTGCTCAATTATTATTGATCCGATCGCCCTTTAGCAACATACCAGGAGTAGTGGTGTGGCGTGCTTTGCGATAAATCGATCGATCTATGTTTTAAACCTGTGGAATAGATCGATAGAGAGGGTGCTTGAAATGAACACCTTAATAATCATTCATAGCTTCAAATGGGGAAATATCGATAATCGACCGTTCATGTCTCGCCTCTGACCAGGAGGTGAGCAAACTAACGAGAATAAAATATGACCGAATTTGCATTTTTTTTTCAAACTTTCCGCCAAGACTAAAACAGTACCAACACAACTATGGGTTTTGATTCTGATTGGTCTGTAGTAGAAAAGTGTATACTTTCGTTTCATTCATTTTCACAGGAAGGTGCCTTCCTGTCTAGTTGCAACTGATGTTGCACCAACCAAACGTCATGTTTCTCGAGGAGAAAATCGACGGTGAAACTACCAAACCACGTATCTCGGTTTGCGACGTCGCAGACTTCCTGTCATACTTTATTTTTTAAATGAAAAACTACTTAACATCCAGTCTTGAAAATTTCTGTGATTTTTCCTCTTTGTGTGAAGAAAATTCCGTGAAAATTTCAAGGAATGATATTGATTTGGTCCACTTCAAAAAAATAAAATGTGAGCCTAGATTTTTAAACACCGCAAACGAGATACGTGGTTTGGTAGTTTCACCGTCGAAATGTTGCATGTCATCAGAACTCTTTTAAAAATCTTAAAAAAATGCAATTCTTCCCTCCACATGAGAAAAATTGTTCGAAATGCACGTTAGATAAAAAATACAAACTGTCAGCTAAGAACGTGGAAAAACCTTTACAATTTGAATTGAATGACCTTCCTTAATTTCTGAAGCAACGTCTTTTAATGTTATCAATTTAAAAGTGGAATTTCCATTCAATTTAGCAACTCTGCGCCTCCGCTTTCCTCACCCTTTTTCCCATCGAGAGACTTAGAAGCCCCACAACTTACATGAGTGCACTAATCTAAAAGTATTTTTATTCGACGTCAGAATCGTCTTTTGACTTGAGTCTATTACACCGCTCTTTCTGCATGCATGATCAGAGATTTCAAATACCTAAATATCAAAAATGAAGCAACCGAATTGAATTTGACTCAAGTTCACTACACAAAGAAAAACTGTTATTTTAACTGTATGCAGTGTTATCGCACGATGAGGTGCTTCAAATATTTCCTTGGCAGCCTTCCTCTACCTTATAAAAAACAGACTAACGGTATAGTTTTACTGTATAGTTTTAACGGTATAGTTTTACTGTACCGTTAGTTAATTTTCCAACCAGCTAATACTATAATCTTGAGTCACTTGTAACTAAAATTTTGCGCACAAATTATCTGACTTTTTTTTGTTTTGTTTTTTGTTTGGTCAGCCTAATAACTTAAACAGTCAACGTTCGTCTCTGATTATTTATTGTTCGGAAACGCCAGGAAATAGTCGCACGGAAGTTTTTAAGAATTAACGTTGGTTAGTTAGCAATTTAAAAAATAAAGCATGACAGGAAGTCTACAATTTTGCAAAATGAGATACGTGGTCTGGTAATATCACCCGACAGTAATACGGTTCATTATTTTGAATTTTTAGGATTTTTCGGCAGGAATTATGGCTCAGTGGAATCAGTGTCCGGAGGTCCACTTGAAAGACCCGTGGAAATTGTCCCTACTACCGGGGCTCGAATCGAGGACCAATTGGCTTATTTTTATAACCAGACGCGCTGATCACCAGGCCAATTTAGTCGACTGTTTTCTGAGTTACATTAGCAGTCTCCTAATCGAATATAATCTTATTGGATATTTTTGAATGTTGAAATGAGGTTTTAGCATTTAGCCACTCGGCCTGTGAATATTTCTATGCATTACTCGTACTCTGCCGTGCTAAGGAAGAACGCCGTATGAGCCCACAGGCGTTGCCAAGTTTCCTTCGATAAATACCGAATTTACTGAAAAAATTGTAAATGTTTTATTTCCGACATTTTTAGAAAGTTTTGCACGCAATTCAATCTAAAATATCTGAAAATTTCAAAGAAAAAAGTGTATGATTGTCGTCAAAAATACATGTTTTATCCAGGGAAATTTGGCAACTCCCGAATGTTCATACTGCGTTCTTAACACGGCAGTACTGTTGTTTATGAGTAATTTAGCCATGGTTATAACGGGTGAAATTGTTTGTTTGATTTCAGGGGACGGTGGCATCATTGATCAAATTTGGCTATTTGATCGTGATAGTCACAATGATACTCATCATCTGGGGGTCGATAGCCAGCGCCTCAAGCGGAAGCGCACTGTACGGTCATCGGTAAGTCCACTAAATATATCTTGTAAGATACAGTATACAGGGTGATCCAGAGTTAAACGGCCAGACTGAAGAGGCTGAAACACCCTCAAGCCCCCACTTTAAATTGAAATTTAGATTTTTTTTTATAGATATTTTATGAATTCAGGGAATATGAATATAGGGGAGTACACATTTTCATGAGATTTGGTTTACAGCCGTTGCCAAAATTCAGAAAACCCGATTTACTCTCCGAAATTTTGGGGGGCTGTAGCTCCGACTGGGGGCTTTTTTGAGAAATACTTTATTCAACAAAAGAGACTTTTTTTCCTGCAGTTTGGCCGTTTACTTTGGATCACCCTGTCTAGTAGAAAATTAAGATATCTCAGCCAACATTTGTGTGGGCCAGCAAAATACTAATTGACGTTAAAACTGTTAAGCCACGTATCTCGGTTTGCGACGTTTCAAACAACTACTTTAACTCTCCGGAGCTCAAATTGTATATCCGATGAATTGAAGGAACTTTAAATCCGGAGACGCGCAACCTAGCGATTTTACTTAAGACATCAGACCGTTGCGCCGTTAATGTAAGTATGATTCCTCTCGAGCAACTATTTTAACTCTCCGGAGCTCAAATTGCATATCCGATGAATTGAAGGAACTTTGAATCTGGAGACGCGCAACCTAGCGATTTTATTTAAGACACCAGACCGTTACGCCGTTAATATAAGTGTTACTCCCTCGAGCAACTATTTTAACTCTCAGTGAGCTTAAATTGCATATCCGATGTAATGAAGGAGTTTTGATTCTGGAGACGCGTAACCTAGTGATTGTATTTAAGACACCACGCCATGTTTATCTCCTTTTATACCTCATGTTTATGGATTACTATATTCTGCGGTAATTCGCATAAGAATTGCCGTGATTTTCCTTTCTTATGCAAAGAAAATTCTGCGAAAACTTCAAGGAATGATATTGTTTTTTTTCTCCTATAAAACATAAAGTAGGAGCGGAGTTTTTAGAATGCCGCTAGCAAGATACGTGGTTACATCACCAGACAGCGTATGAATTAAAAGTCTACGAGACAAGTTTCCCGAATCCAGCACTGAATTACATAATGAATTTAATCAAGTTAACTCAAAAAATAGATATCATCCAAAATTTGCGAAGTTGCGGACGTACTGTCAAACTTTATTTTTAAAACGGAGAACCTCTCATTTAATAAAAAAAATTGTAATCTTTCTTTTCCGTCCGATGCGAATCTGAAAAAATTTCAAGGAATGATGTTGATTTGCTCTCCTTTACAAGTAAATTAAAGGCTGAGATTTTCAAGCATAGCAAACGAGATACGTGCGGTTTAGAAGTTTGACTGTCGATATATTTTTTAGAGAGCGTGCGTAGTAATTGTAATGAGTCTGTTGCGCTAATCACAGAATCGTGCTTTGGTGGTTTAAAATTATTATATAGGTTAGCAAAAAATAACAAAATCCGTCCAAATGCCGAGTTAGAGGCTACGTCATTTAACATGTCATGTAACAGGCTCAAGTGTAAACAAACCCATAATCGTGCTTCTGAATCGCGACCTTTGTGCCATGGTGGTAAAATGCGTCCAAGTGTTTCTTAGAAATTCCTCGTGTTCAAGGAGACTTTCATTATTTTTGACCAATCAATGACTAAATTTTAATAAATTATCACAATTAACTCATGAAGAATTCGTACACGAGGTTATGTTACTTTGTTTTGGTTTGAACCAAGAGTTCGATATTATATGTATATTGAGCCACATTATAGTCTCTAAATCAGTCTATCGGACGTAGAAATTTGGGATTTGGACGGATCTGATTATTTTTGCTTACCTATAAGCTTCAACCACCAAAACACGATTCTGTGACGAGCGCAAATGACCCATTGTAATTTAGTCATAGTTTTTAATTTTGTTAAATGGATCGAATGTAGCAAAAAGGAACCAGTACGATCACAGTATTTTCAATCTCGTGCAACTGCTTATTTTCTTTCAAAAATACCTATATTTGTACTCGATTCAAATCTGCACACAAATCTTAGGTGGGAGGCCAAAACGATTTGCTACTCTGGGAGATTTTTTTAGATAATTATTCGGAAGCACCATTATTTGGATCGCATTTAGCAAAAAGGAGCCAGCGTAATTACAGTGTTTTCAAAATCGTAAAATTTCTATTTTTCTTGTAAAAATACTCAATATATGTACTGTATTAAAATGCACAGAATTGTTTTTCTTTAAAATAAACAACTTTTAGGTGGGAAGCAAGAATTATTTGTTATTATTGGAGATTTTTTAGGTAATTATGAAGAGGCGACATTTTTACAATACTGTAATCGCGCTGGTCCCTTTTCATTAAATGCGATCCATTTTCACAACACTCACTGAAAAAAAAAAACACATTGGATCTAGAGTCTAGACTCTTAAAAACACCGACAAGAAAAATACTCTTGATTCAAACAGATTTAAGCTTAAATCAAGAGCCAAGCCTCTTAATTTGAGCGGATTTCCGTCTGATTTAAGCTTAAATCTGATTGAATCAAGAGTCCTTTTTCTTGTCAATGTTTTCAAGAGTCTGGACTAGATCCAATGTGTTTTTTTCCCAGTGTGTGATCGCGCTGCTGGATCCTTTTTGCTAAATGCGATCCAACTGTACCCTTTTCCTCTCTGAGAGAATCTCCGGATTTCTTCTTCCTTAGGTATGGAGCTCTGGAGGCACATAAGGACGACCCGCCTTGTGTTTTCAACCCCCTATGCACGTGTTCAAAAGCTGTGCCAGATCTAGGTATAGTCCGGTGTCGAAATGTACCCCTGCCGAGGATACCACCACCTCTCAACAGTTCGAAAGTTTTCATGCTTATTTTAGAGAACAACGGGCTTGAATATTTCGAACCTCATTTCCTAGAAGGAACAGGTATGCCAAGAAATGACTTTGTTTTCCATTATGCCAAGAAATCACTATAATATACAATTTTAATCCCTATTTTGAACAGACTGTGAGAATTGATCACTTGCGATAAAATTAATAAGATCTGTTCAAACGCCAGATTTCTTTGTTCCATGTTAACGGAGATATCGCGCTCTTTAAAAAAAGTTGCATTAATATTATTACAATTTTTATTTTTTTAAAAATTTTCTTGGTACCATCCAATGTAACGATTTAATACAGTAGAGATGACCCGACTTCAAAACTTCGAGTTTGGAGGACAAGGCGTGTATAAGTGTAGTTTTTGAAAAAAATGAGATATTAATAATTTAAAGTTAAACGACTATAGTCTAAATGCATATTCTATGAAAATTTGCTCCCAAATTTCAATTTTTAAGCATAAATAAGTCAGTTTGAACATTCTTCTTGCCATAAAGGTCCGTTTAATTTCGGAACTTCAAACACGTGTTTCTAGAAATAGCAAAACCTGCACATCGATGCCTTGTTCTCCAAGCCCCTCAAATATGATTTTCCTCTTGAAAATTTACCCATCTGACAATTCGTTCTCTATTCGAAGGAATAAAACTGCGTGGAGCGTGAAAAAAATCCTTGTTCCTGGTGACTGCTTATTTTCGCTCAATTTGCGATAGCCTTGAAACGGAAATGAAGGACACGCCAAAAATAACTGCTGTATTGATCCGCATGTCATATCTCTTTAACAACTAGTGTTCACGGATTTATAATCTATCGCAGATTTTCACATTTTTGTAGGTGGAATGTGACGCCCAATTGTCTTACTTTTAATTCATAACTTTATATATTTTTTCTAGGTTTATATCATTTACAAATCATGCACAACCCCCTTCACCTGATACCGGGTGATGCATTTCAAGGACTGGAAAGGTCTTTATCTGAGCTGGAGATTTCTCATAGTTATTTAGCAACAATACCAAGCAGAGCTATGCGGCATCTTCAGAAATTAAAATACCTGAACTTAGAGGGTAAGATGACATTCAATTTATCTATCTTTTGATTCTAAAAAGTCCCTGATTAGTCCATCAGTGTGTGATATTCAAATTTAAAAATTATCTCGCAAATATTCCTTGTTCCAAATATTGAAGCTAAGCGTAAGTGAGAAAATGTCTCCCTCTCTAATGATTTCCGTGTAAATTGTAAATATGAAAACATGCACATATCTATAATTACCACAAATTCGATCGAATGGTCGAGTCCCACGTGTCTTGATAATATGTTTTGCTGCAATTGACACCTTACATATTTTGAACATATAATCGACAGCCATAAAAGGATGATGACTGTTGCTCCCTTATAATTGTCCTTAAGGGAGTATTGAATCCCCGAAAGTAAAAGATATAACGCCGAGAGGCCAGTGGAGGGTCTTTTTGTCTCTGTTCTTGACTCCAGCGTTCCGATTGTTAAAATTGATAGAAACAGCTAACCAAACTAAGGAGACAAAAAAGGATGTGGAGGGATCCAATTAGTATTGGGTGGTTGCAATGGACAAATTAGGTAGGTAATGGACTAACTAACGAAAATCCACGAGAGACCCTAAAGTTAGTCCATCATTCACCCCCTTAGTCCATAAGAACCACCTATTTCAACCGACAGGATTGCTTCATACTCCCTATTTCTTCTTTGTCTATCGCTTTGTCTATCAATTTCACCAATCAGCCCGCAACAGAGAGTTTTTCTCCTTAGGGCTGCAACCCTGCCGATCTGGTCAAAAACTTTGACCATTTGCTTATTTACTGTATTATGCACCACAGTGGTCTTGAAAAAAAAAAAAAAATGGGACAGAGATGTACCCTAAAACGGTTTGCGAGGGGTTCGGCTACGGTGCATGTGGTCCTAGAATTGCGTAAAATCAAAATTTTGGCTGCTTCTAATTTCGAAATATTATACGATTTGGAATATTTACAGCAAATTCATGTTTTCCACTGATTTTGATTCGCTTTTTTATTTATGTATTTGTCCATGGAATCGGTGTTGATCGGTTCACGTTTTTATTTTTCGTTCGATTCATTTCGATCGGATACATACCCTCTCGTTACATGCAGGTTACCTATCATACTCCTCTTTTTAACTGAACAATTCGCCTTCTGCTGCGTCCGCAGCAATTGTTGTTACGAATATTTTGTGTGTACTGACTTCAGCTATTTACATACTTGACTCTCTGGAGGCGTTTTATGTGCGAAAGCAATTCGCCTTCAGCTGCGTCTGCAGCAATTGTTGTTACGAATATGTTGTGCGTGCTAATTTTAGTTCATTACATACTCGACTCTCTGAAGGCGTTTAATGTGCGAAAGTAGAGCACCCTGTTGGAGAACATCAGAAGTGAGATTGAACGAATCGCTCAAACCCTACATCGTTCATTCTCCGACAGATAGTGGTACTCGCGCACATTAAACGCCTTCAGATAGTTGAGTATGTAATGAACTAAAATTATCACGCACAACATATTCGTAACAACAATTGCTGCGGACGCAACAGAAAGCGAATTTTTAGTTTAAAAAAAAGGAGTATGATAGGTAGTCTGCATGTAACGAGATGGCATGTATCCGATCGAAATGCATCGAACAAAAAATAAAAACGTGAATCAACACCGATTCAAAAGAAAAATAAATAAATTAGCTGATCATAATTAGTAAAAAACATGAATTTACTTTGAAAATTCCAAATCGCGATATCTTGGAAGTAGGATCAGCCAAAATTTTGATTTTACGCGATTTTAAGTCCACGTGTACCATAGACTCACCCCCTGCAAACCGTTTTTGGGTACATGTTTTTCGCATATTTTTGCTTCAAGACCACTGTGGCACCTTGCTGACGGTCACAATATTCACGGAGAAAAAAATCTCGTGCGTGGGACCCGAAGTTTAGGTCATATGGATCTCTGAAGTTTTCGGATTGAGCATCTGAACACTTTAGGTCTAGCTGTCGAGGTTCGGATCACACATCTCAAACTCCAGTTCTTACATCTGAAGTACTTCAGATGTGAGGACCGAAGTTTTTCGGATGTGAGAACCGAGGTTGTTCGGATGTGTAAAACCGAAGAACTACAGATGTAAGAATTGAAGTTTCAGGTGTGTGATCCAAACCTCAGCAGCTGGACCTAAAGTGTTCAGATGCTCAATCCGAAAACTTCAGAGATCCACATGACCTAACCTTCGGGTCCCACGTACGAAGTTTTTTTCTCCGTGTTCGAGGGTGTAGTTTTCTATTCCTCCACAAATTGCTCTCAATGTCCCTGTAAACTCCTGTTGCAGACAACGACATCTCGGACATCAGCATGGAGTCGTGGCGAGGCCTGGAGCACTCCCTGCGGATGCTGTCCCTGCGCGACAACGTGATCTCGAACCTACCCCGCGGCGTGTTCAGCTCCCTGCAGGCCCTCGAGTACCTGGACCTCTCCGGCAACTCAATCGCCGAACTCGACGGCGAGCTCTTCATGCAGGGGCCGCCGCTTCTCATGCAGCTCTTCCTCGCTGACAACCAGATCAAATACGTCCCTTACCCCCAGGTCGCCACTCTCAGGTCAGCTTCCCTATATTTCTCATAAGTCGTCGACAGGTCCGTCGCGAGGGGTCCCAAAATTTCGCGCATTTTTTATGTTATTTCATTAAATATTTTTCTGAGAACTCACGTCTATTTCGCCTCGTTGATCTCCTTCTCTTCTCCTTCATGCTACTCTCTTTCTTCTTCTTTCTCAGGTTCTTCCGCGTCCTTTTTTTCTTAATTTTATAATATCTCTTCTCCTTCTTCTTCTCCTTCTTCCTCTTTCTTCTAATTTTAAGTTTAATCTATCCTCTCCATCACTCACTTCTTCTTTTTCGTGTTCCTCTTGTTCTTGCTGTTCCCTTCTATTTTCCCCTCTTTCTCGTCCTTTTGCCTCTTATTCTTTTTCTTCTTCTTCCTCTTCCTTTTCCTCCTGGTATCCACCGTCCTCTGCTTCTCTCACTTCTTCTTCTCCTTCTTCTTCCTCATGTCTCTCGTCCACCCTCTTCTTCCTCTGTTTTCTTAGCATCCTCCATCCTCTCTCTATCCTCCTCTTCCGCTCCTTCCCCTTATTCTGTTTCTTCTTCTTCTTCCAGTCTATCTTTTCATTCTTCTGCTACTTCTCCCGTTTTTTTCAGTATCCTCCGTCCTCTCCTTCTCCCACGTCTCCTCCGTCCTCTTGTCTGTCTTCTCCTTCTTCTTCTTCATGATCTTCCTCTTCATCTAGGTCTGTAATCCCAAAAATCCATCAGGTTCTCAAAGATGTCTCTAAGTCTTTAGTCTAAATCAGCAAGCACTGTCTTATTTGTAAAAAAAGTGAGAACGATGAGAAAGCCGTAAGTGCGCAAAAATGACTGGATGATAGTGGAGTCAGTCCTCCAGCACCTCCCCCATTTTTTTCTCTAGAAAATAACAGTTTGCCCAACTTTTTGCAAAACCTATGAACCGAAACTCACAAAAAGCGGTCACGTATCATGAATTTTGGTGTTTAATCCATCCATGACCTTAAAATCTATCGGAATCCCAAGTTAAAGGGAGATTTTAGGGGATCCTATATTTCCTGGGATGGAAAAAAGAAAAAAAACTTGGTCCCCTCACAGGGCCCCATAAAATTCTTCTTTAACTCGTAATTTCAATAATTTTAAAGTTATGAATGAAATTGCCGCTAAAAGTTAAAAAAGGTACACCCTCTTTACGTGTGTTTCGATCCTTAACCATTGCAAACATGTAAAAAGCAACAATTATTCTCCAGTGGCGTGGCGTGCTTTGCGATCTATGGATATCTCCCCATTTGAAGCTGTGGTAAATAATCAATTATTTAGGTGTTAGCTGCGAACACCCTGTTTATCGATACTTTTCTATTGGTTTAAATGGCCGATCAATCGATATATCGCAAAGCACGCCATGCCACTGTTATTCTCCCTCTCTTACAGAAGAAAACTTTAGCTCATAATGTAATATGTTAGTCGTTTTAATCTATCACAAGATCCTGTTGATTTGAAATGTAAAATCAAAGTCACCCCCAGTTTTACAATACCACGAACACCCTTGATCCTACGTAAAAAATAAATGTCTGGCTTAACGTTGCTACTTGCTTAGAGGCTTTACAATCAATATTTCAAATCAACCCCTTTCCCAGAAACAAATAAACTTCCATTATTAGTTTTCTTTTTTTTCGGAGGTATTGAAATCGTTCATTGTTTGTTAATATGTATTCGCGCTCGCGAATATCTTTACAAGCTTCCTCATCATAACTCTGCTTCACTAAGTAAGAACGCCGTATGAGCCATTAGGCGTTGCCAAATTTCCTTCGAAAAATTACGCATTTCTAGGAAAATTTGTGGAAATTCCTCCGTCGATTTTTCCATTGATTGCGTTCGTAATTTGATCTAAAAAGTCTGAAAATTTCAGGGAAAATATTTATAATTTGTTTCAAAAATAAATATTTTCCAAAAAGAAATTTGGCAACATTTGAATGCTTGTACGCTGTTTTTACTTAGCAAGGCAGCACTTATACGTACATCTCAAAGATACCCACGACCACAGATTCCTATCAATCTTCCATCCGTCGATTGTTTTAAGTCGATGCATTCCATAGTTCTGCAACAAGGGGGCAACACTCCATATCCGCATCTATAAAGCCGACTTCGGATTTTGCATTCGCACTTAGTCTTCCACGGTAAGCAGGTGTTTGGGTGAAGATTACTTGCGAATGCCGTGGAGATGATCATCACAGCCATGAGCACAAATACGAGCAGAGGAAGCATACGTGCTTTTTCCTGCAAACAGAGAATTCTCTTATTTAGATCAATTGGCTGCATGAAGTTTGCGGAAATCTTGTGCATAGATAACATTTGCGTACAAACTTCGCAAATTAAACAAAAAATAATCGTGAAAAAACCGCGACTTGGCACTGCAACTATAGTACGCTCAAGACTGAGGATAGTGAAATACAATGAGCCCCCCCCCCCTCTGGCCAAAAAAAGGTGCAAAAGAAGGAAAAGGGGGAAAAGAGGGAGATAAAACACAGTGCCCGTAAATATTTATTGAAATTGTGTCAAGACAGAACTTCATAACTTTTTTTTTAACTTCAAGTTTACTAAACCAAAAGGTTACTCAATCAGACATAAATTGGCCATACATCAAAATAAAACTTCTTAAAGAGGTATTATTCGTTGATTTTCAACTTTCAAATAATACACAAATTGAATGCTAAAGCTACTTAAAATTAAATCTGGTAGGGGTTATTTTTTTTTTTAAATTTATGGGGGTAGATGACCCCCCTCTACATCAGCAAATGGCCCCCCCCCCCACCAACTCAGTCTGGATCCTCCACTGTCGTGTCTAGTGATAAAGTATTGAATATTGAACAAAAATAATTGTTTAGTCAATCACCTGGTATGCGAAATTGAGATTACTTCTGGAATAGGAGCACCTTTTCTTCAGACGTCTACAACTTTTCAAAAGCGCACGAGAATGAGCAATTCAAGGTAATGAGTGCGCCTTGTGCTACTCAGAAAATTCGGCAGTAAATACTCGAACTCAATCGACGCACAATTGATCAAGTCAATAGGAGAGGTCGGACAAAATTTGGAAATTTTAAACGCTCATAACTCCGTTTATAAGAAACTTCGATGTTCTAAAAGTGGTTCTGTTGGTTTCCTCGTGAAATTTTCTTTTTTGAGCACCCCTTAAAATTTAAAATGTGAAGAAATAGAAATACAAATTTGCAGCTTTAGTAAAAAATTTCACTTCCGACCTCTTAATTAACTCGATCTTTTGTGCGACGTGTCGTGATCCGCCACAAATGAAATGGTGATGTATCGTCGAGCCGCAAGCAATAAAACAGGTAATTACCCGATCGGAAATACAGGGTGTCATTGATAGGAAGTTCTTGAAAAGTCATTCAAAAAACAAGGAACGTTACAGAATTTTAACCGACCATACGAAATCAGAGAATTTCATTCCACAGTAAAGAGTAGGGGAAAATTCAGAGAAATTTGCTGAGGAACTTTAAAAAATCCTTCTTTCCGGCGGCTGAAACATTTTATCATTCTCTATCACAACCGTACGTTTCTCGCTTTATTGCTGAAAGCTAGGAAATTGACCCTATACATTTTGAGTTTCTCGGCTTTTGAGCGACGTTGCACTAAATTGTCCTTGTGGAAATTATTTTCGTAAGAAATTGTATACAAGAAATTGCATCTGTATGTCACAGAGAGGTTGTGCCTCTTTTCTTTCACATTTTCCTTTTCTTTGTACACCTCACATTTAATTTTTACATCAATCAATTTCCAGGTCTCTGCGCACCTTAGATTTAAGTTACAACCTGATCTCAAACTTGCACTCGGCTGTGACGGAGCCTGGATTCCATCACAAACTTAGTCTTGATATTCTTCGCCTTGATTACAACGATATTCAGTTCCTTCCACCAGGTTCCTTCCAACACCTCGATATCGTTAACAAAACTTACTTGAACGGAAATCCGCTATCGTTAGTTCAGGTTGGTATCTCTTTTTTGTAACAGCGTATGAGTACGTGTAAGAAACCCGAATAATTTTAAAGTCCCTTATTTGGTCCCTACGTACAGCGTGACCAATCCACAGAAATAGGAGCCTCAGTGTAAGGAAATGCTCGGTATACAGGGTGATCCAGGGTTTAAAGGCCAGACTGCAGGAGCGTGTTCTATGGGTCTTAATAAGACTTTTTTGTTATATAAAGTTTTTCCCAAAAGCGCTCCCAATCGGAGCTACGACCTCCTCAAAATTTCGGAAAGTAAATAGTTTTTCCTGAATTTTGGCAACGGTTTTGCACCAACTCTCATGAAAATTTGTACTCGCCTGTACTTTTATGCCCTGAATTCATAAAATGATCTAAAAGAAATCGAAATCTCAATTAAAGTGTTCCGGCTTCTGCAGTCTGGCCGTTTAACCCTGGGTCACCCTGTATAATGTGACCATCGTGATTTTTGTGTCATTTTACCCCTAAAAAGTCTCCTCACGTGGTTGTATCTTTTGCATTTGAAAAGCCCTGACACATGTAAGAGCTCAATTTCCAGAGATGGATATCAGTGTCGAGGTGAGAATGATCGATTATCGATATATCCCTATTTGAAGCTATAGTAAAGAATCGATTTTTAAGGTGTTCGCTGCGCACACCCTGTTTATCGATTTTTTGCCATAGGGTTAAATTGAGGATCAATTTGATTGCATTTTGCAAAAAGGAACCAAGAGCACTGCCGAGTTGCTAAGGTTATAGGACATTTCGTCAACGATTCTTTGTCCGCGCTCCTGTTTTTTCCAGTAATTTAAGACCACGCGTTTTTTCGGCACGGGAGTTTTGGTCCACTTGCCAGTTAAGACCCATAGTTAATTGGCCCACATGTAAATACAAACGACGATTGCTCACGACGTTTTTGGATGAAAATATATAATATCTTGGAAGAATGAGGGTTTGCTTGTGTTCTTTTTTTGGTCTGTTTGGTCCAACGGAGAATAATATATAGTTGAGAGTTGTAGTTAAAATGGGGGAGCATCAATTCCATGAGACAAAATTCACTAAAACTCTCTACGCCTCTTTGGTGTAACAGGACTTAATTATCTTTCAAGAAATTCCCACCTTGTTATACCTAAACCGGATAAACCTCTATATTTACCTCAGCTAAAGGCTCTTAGATTTTTTTTGTGTGCGATAAGTATATCTTGATTTATTTTGCGAGGAAAGATCTGTACTTTTAAAGGATGCCTGTCATTCTTAATACGTTCAATTTTGTATAGTACTGTGCAACACCTTTGTTGTGAAATAGTTGCTTCAGGCACCGTCGCACGGCGGGCGGGCGACCAGCGTGAAACGCGCATTAGCGCCTACAAACCTAAGTGGATACTTCAAGCATTGTGCAATGCGAGAAGTATCCACTTAGGTTTGTAGGCGCCAGTGAGCCTCTCGCGCTGGCAGCACACCGCCGCTCCACTCTGTTAGGCTTTAATATTTAGCGTTTTTTAACTCATAATTTTGAAATTTGAGCACATTCTGCATTGATTATTCTCATTTAAATTGATGGTAAAAAAATATGTATCAATTTATCAAAGGAGAATATGTTATATGATGTGTTTTTTAAATATTGGTGGTTTCGTGTCAAATTTAATAATTTTTTTCTTTTACATTTTGTGCTTCTATTGTGCTGCAGCGAGGTGTACGCGCAACGAAACGCTCAAAATTTGACGTATTTGACTCCATAAGATCGATGTACAAATGGGTTAAAACTAAAGGTTGCGTGCTTCTTGGTTTTTTTCCTCTTTTATTCATTTTTGCAGTTTCCGTCGGCACAACTGAGGCTCATTGAGATTAATGTCGCTTGGAAAAGGTTTTAAAAATATTTGTCACGTTTTAAAAATATAAATTTTTTCAAAATGAAGTAAAAGTTTCGTAAAGAAAAAAGAAAAAAAGAAAAAAAGTACCTATACATATATAAGTATTCATTCAATATTTTACGGATAGAAATAAAACCAAATATTCACCAATGACAATTTAAAAAGATGATTCAAAAGGAGAAAGTAATATTATTTCATTTAGAAAATGAGCAACCATAACAACACCTCCTTCTCTCACAATTTCTCATCTCCATATTGTCAATATAATTTTACATACGGACTAAAATATAACGCTTGGACCAAGTCACTGTTGCTTATTTTACGTGTGGGCATAAACTACTGGAGAAAAAAGGTGCGCGGTCAAAAAATCGTTGACAAAATGTCCTGAAACCGTTGCTAAGATTGTGCAACTCCACTCTTAGAAATGAAACTACTGTAACCGGCAAGTATTTGGAATTTATATGGTAACTTTTGTCTTAAATTAGCGTGTAAAATATAAAATTGTTATAGATGATAAGGTTTTTCTTCCAAGACAAAAGAAGTTGCACGATTTCAGCAATATTGCAATGCTCTCGGTTCCTTTCTGTAAAATGCAATTCAATTGATAATCGCAAAGCACGCCACGCCGCTGATGGATACCCAAACACTGGGCCGAATTTTGTCGGTTCTTTCACATATAGGTGCAACATTCATAGATGAGTCCAAACCGCAGCACCGACCAATCAGAAGCGCTAAGCCAGACTTATGTGCGGTCGAGGCGTCCTAAGTATATTTAAGTACGGTGAAAGCAGAGACAAGAGACCCTCTACTGGCCTCTTGGCGACAGGTGGAAGCTTTTATTTTCGGGGATTCAACAATTCCTTGTGGACAATTTCACGGGAGCAACAGTCATCACCCTAATTTCGGCTGTTGACCCACCTACATGGTGGATGATGAGCTTCGGGTGACGTCATGAGCCAAACGAGTTTCCCAAACTTCGGGTTGTTTGCAAAACGAAACAGCCAACACGTTGTTCAACATCAACCATATAGGTAAGTCAACAGTAGAACGCTGAAGTCCCAAAAGTAAAAGCTTCCACCATGGCCAAAATACTAGTGGAGGGTCTCTCGTCTCTGGATGGAACAGAGACAAGAGACCCTCCACTCGTATCTCGGCTATTGTGGAAGCTTTTACTTTCGGGACTTCAGCATTCTACTGTTGACTTACCAACATGGTTGATGTTTAACAACGTGTTGGCAGTTTCGTTTTGCAAACAAGCCGAAAATGGCCAACGTTTGAGAAACTTGTTTGGCTCATGACGTCACCCGAAGCTCATCATCGACCATGTAGGTAGGTCAGCAGCCGAAATTAGGGTGATGACTGTTGCTCCCTGATAACTGTCCATAAGGAATTGTTGAAACCCCGAAAGTAAAATCTTCCACCTGTCGCTCGGAGGCTAGTGGAGGGTCTCTTGTCTCTGGGTGGAAGGACCCACAAAACTCGGCCCCTTGAAATTTTTCTGAGTGATTTTATTTTTTGCAGACGGATGCATTCCGGGACGCGCGGATCAGGGAGCTGTACCTGGTGGACTGCGGGTTGCAGGAGATCTCTCCGTCGGCGTTCTCGGGCCTGGAGCCCTCGCTGCAGGTGCTGGACCTCTCGAAGAACAACCTGACCCAACTTCCGGCTACCCTCCTCCTCGAGTTCGACTTCCTCAAGACCCTCAACGTCCGCGACAACGTCCTCTTCGACCTGCAGGGCAGCGACGAGAGCAGCGCCCACCAGTTCCAGTACTCCATCCACAAGCTCGACCTCAGCGGCAAGAGCAATCAACCGGTTGCGCTTCAGGATTTGCGCAGGTCAGTAGGCTAAATTGATAGACAGGGTTGCCACGGTCTAAGTTCGCCTTTGAAATTTCAAGCTTATTATTCACTGAAATTTCAAAAGGCCTTTTATATTTCAATTCTTGTTAAAAAACCGGAGACGTTTCGACTTAAAACTGAGTCATTTTCAGTCGGAGAATAAATTAAAATGTAAAAGAAATTGAGGAACATACTGCTGTGCTAAGGAAGAACGCCGTATGAGCATTCGAGCGTTGTCAAATTTCTTTTGATGAAATGCTTATTTTTGAGGAAAATTATGAATATTTTTCCTTGAAATTTTCAGGAGCTTCAGATCAAAATGCAAAAACTATTCTCTGCAAATTTTCAATGAAAAATATTCATAACTTTACCAAGGAATTCGTGTTTTACCGAAGAAAATTTGGCAACGCCTGAAGGTTCATTCGGCGTTTTTCCTTAACACGGCAGCATAACCTGAGACGTACATGTTGGTTGCCGAGATCCGAAAAAACAAACACTGGAAAAAAAAACACATTGGATCTAGAGTCCAGGCTCTTAAAAACATCGACAAGAAAAAGCACTCTTGATTCAATCAGAATCTAGCTTAAGTCAAGAGCCAAGCCTCTTAATTTAAGCAGATTTCGTTTTGATTCAAGCAAAAATCCAATTGAATCAAGAGTATTTATTCTTGTCAATGTTTTCAAGAGTCTAGACTCTAGATCCAATGTGTTCTTTTTTTTCAGTGAACGAAAATTTTAGTGGTTTATTTTTAGTCATGTTTCCCGTTTCCCCCCCTAGTTTGTTTTCATGTCACCATTTTCTCAGGCTGCTTTGTAAGAATTTGTATTTAGTTTTTATGATTTGCATAATTTTCATTCTTCAATTCTTTCAGAATGCGGAACCTGCGCTCCTTGATCGTTTCAAGACTGAGACAAAATCACATCGGGGCCGAAGACTTCCAGGAATTCAGCATCGACTTGGAGGAGCTCAAAATTTTACATTCAAATTTGAAGTCGATAAAAAGCCACGCTTTCAAGAATGTGCGAGGGTTGAAAAAGCTTGACCTGTCCTACAACACTATTTCTTCGATGGATAGTGAAGCATTCTCGGATGTAAGGGCGTTTATATATTTTTGAAGTCCCTCTATGACGAGGGGTATCCGAGAAGTAAGCTAATATTTGTCATATCTTCTAAACTAATGAAGATAATTTAAAGTTGTGAAAAGTTTGTAAATTTTCCTACTCTCCGCTTCCGAGAAAACTTCAAATTTTTAAATTCGGTCCTCTGAGCGCCGAGGGACATCAGTTTTCTTACACCCGTCTCTCGCCACCGCCTTTTCAACCACTTGAGCGCGCACCGTGATATATGCGCAATGCATGAAGTATCCTGCAGACTCGTAAGGCGCCATACCATGCGTCGCGCGAACCGTGCTGTACGCGCAGTGCATGAAGTATCCTGCGGTCTTTTAAGGCGCTACTATACGTTTGCGTTTGATGCTACTGATGATTTTGAAGCCGCGTGCTTCCGTGCTATCGTCCTGCGAACTCTCCAGTGCGTAAATTTTGGACACGCGGTCGTGGTGCCGGGAGACGGGTGTGGAAAAACTGATCTCACCTGGTACTCAGAAGACCAAATGTATAAAACTGAAGCATTTTAGAAAGCTGAAAATATAGCAATTCAAAATATGTTTACAGATTTAAAATTTCTTTATTAGTTTAGAGGATATGATAAACATTAACTTACTTTACAATTCCCCCTCGTAGTATGGATTAGAGAGAAAATGAACCGGACAAAACAAAATATAAACCCAAAAATATATATCTGGGACCATGTCGTCGCTCCTCTGACGTAAGGGTGTAACTCTAATTCCACATGAGCTCGGAAAAGCGCAGAGTTTTACGGAGAACAAGGTTCACGTGGAAATCGAGGTACGCCCCCATGTCAGAGGTGAGACGATCTATAGGGAGATATTTTTATTATTACACTGGAAAAAAAGTCGCTTGGAACTAGAGTCCAGACTCTTAAAAACATTGACAAGAACAAATACACTTGATTCCATCGCATCGGATTTTTGCATGAATCAAAAGGAAGTCCGCTTTAACCAAGAGGTTCGGCTCTTCATTCAAAGAAAAATCTGATTGCATCAAGAGTATTTTTTCCTGACAATCATAATAAGATTCTGGACTCTAGATCCGAGCGATTTTTTTTTACCAGTGTAATAAAAAGTTGAGTAAAAAAATTGAAATTGATTTTTTTGATGGAAAGCTCATGTCCCTTAAAAAATATAAGGTGAGTGATTTTTCAAATTATATATATTTACTTTTAATTTTTTTTCAACCATAGGTGCGAGGCTTGTATTTTTTTGTAGGGTGCGGGGTTCATATTTCTTTGGTTTTCATGTAAAATATATTTTTCAGATCGGTCAATCTCTGACGTCACTGAGATTATCGCACGCGTTTTCTGGGTTACGAAATATACCTGGCGAGGCATTTAAACCTCTCACGAACGTGGCTCATCTCGATTTGAGCTACAACAACTTCCAGATCATCCACGAAACGGCTTTCCACTACCTTAGGAGAGTCAAAATTTTGGAATTGCAGGACAACCACATCGAACAGATCCACAAGGGCACTTTCCAGGTTAGTTTTTCAACAAACGCCTTTTTTTGTATACGTCGAAGGCTATTAGTCAAATCAGGCACTCTACCAAATGCCTAGGCCAGTAGTCAAAGACAGATTACGGGATTCTGTAAAGAGCCTCGCCAAGTTTCGCCCCTTTTTTTTATACCCGAGTTGGTCAACCGGACAGTGCTCAAATGAAAGCCTATGGTAAGGCAAACTTCCATGCAAAGTTTCAACTTGAAGTGACCCCTGGTTTAGGCTGTACAGCGTTGCCAATTTTCCCGTTTCATGTGCTAAAATCAAGGATATTGGACTATTAGTCCGGTGCATAAGTAGACTAGTACACCCAAGTTGGTCAACGGGACAGGGCTCAAACGAAAGCTCATGGTAAGGCAAACTTCCAGGAAAAGTTTCAACTTGAAGTGAAACCTCGTTTAGGCTGTACAGCGT